GAATTGACGTGTTTAGATGAATTAGGCTTAAGTTCGATGTTGGGTGTCATGCGAGTTAATTGATTCTTAACATATTGGGTCTTGTGAGAATTGGATCGCAATTTCAAAATATTAGAATGTTAAGTCATAACAATTTTATTAAAATAAATACAATGCTAAACAACTAAAATTTTGATTACAATGCATAATATTTGTAATTAATTACACTGCTATTTACTATTACACAACACTAATTACAATTCAATAAATGAATTTCGGCCCAAGCCAAAACCCAGCCAAAAGTCAATTCCAGTTAGCCCAGGTCAACTATAAGTCAAGGCCCAGTTCGGTCAACCAAGCTCAATCTGCCAAACAAAAATCAACTTGGGCCAAGACCCAAATCAAGTTCGGACCAGGCCCAATCTAGGCCGAACCAAACCGGTTCAACCAGGCCAAGCCCAACCCAACATAGGGTATACTACCTCAAACAGCCAATCAAAAAAATACACAAAGTCACCTATCCTCACAACCAATCAAGTGAAAATAGAAACCTAAACTACAGTTGATTTTTGTATTATAAAAGAGGGTTGATTTCTTCTTCTTCCTCTTCTTGGCTTCCCCTTCCTCATCGAGGGAATTATGCTACTGCTTCTACTTTCTTAAATGGGTGTTATGTGTTTAATATATCAATTTGCGCCTTTAATTTATGATGTATTGAATTTATTGCATCCATGCATATAGCTCTATTCCCAAGCTATCCTTGTAGAAAAAAGGAAGAAAGTAGTGTGACTCCTACAATAGTAGGGGAAATACGAAACTTCCCAACCAGGTTGAACTCAAATCCGAGGAGGATTTGAGGTATCACGCTAAACTCGAAAGGGTCATAGTGTGGTACAACTTGGGAGCCTAATTCCTAAAGATCCATACCCAGCATATAGTTTGCTTAGAAACTACATAAACCGCAACTTATCCCTGAGCCTACCCCAAAACCTATGTTATGTTGCCAAAATAACTTAGGTTTACCTCAATAAGGCAAAGTTTGTGAAAGAATTTATCTTATGATCCGTTCTTGTCTTGCTTATACGTGGAATATGTGTTTTGCAAATCAATTCGTGAATGAGAGTAATTTATTTGTATGTGTGAAAGAATTTTAAACTCATTACACCATCATTTCTTTATTCATTCATATTAAACATGTTACAAAGTACATATGTATCCACTGGAAAAATACTTCGTATTTACAATCATATCATTGAGCATAACCATCATGCATCCATCCCATTTAGAACCATGAAATGACTTAACAAAATTGGGATTCTCTAAGGTTGCTCATCCACGAGGATAACGTCAAACCCGTAAGTACTCGACCGGATCCAAGGCCGAGCTCACTACGGAGTTAATCCAGAGGGAATTGGACGACATGAAGAGACGAGTGATGGGACTCGAGGGCATTAGGGCAATGCCTGTATCTGTCCTAGTGGAGATGACATATTGGAAGGTAAACGAGTGGTTTGTGAAGAGACGGGATGCTGCTATAGGGAGGGAGCGTGCTGGTCATTCAATAGCTAAGCATATATTTGATGGCATGCAGAAGATCGAAGAGAAATCAAGTAAGCACAGAGTTGTTCTGTTCAACCGCAATGAAGGTATTTTTGCTGTGCAAACAGGTATCTGGGGTGGAGGAAGACGTGGGCATAATCGCCAATCCGTTACTCTACACGTAGAAACTCGCACCGGAGAGTGTACATGCCAAAAGTATCAAAACAGAAGAGTACCTTGTTCACATGCAATGGCAGTAGCTAAGTCGATAACCCTCAGCGCTTACAGTTTGGTTAGTCCTTACTACACGGAACAGGCGATCAGGAACTCCTACTCGTCAAGTTTTAGCCCCCTGCCGGATGAAGCTTATTGGCCTGTAGACAATGGGAAGTTGATTATCCCACCGTTACACTTAAAGCGCACCAAAGGTCGTCCTAGGACCGAAAGGATTCACAATGAAATGGACCAATCACAACGTGCCCGACGGGGTCCAAAACGTTGCTCAAAGTGCAGACAACCGGGTCATGACAAGAGGCGTTGCCCAGGTCCACCTATAGAGCAAGATTCGGCGCCAATTCCGAACCAACCTTGATGTTGTTGTTGTTCACTTCCTTGTTTTAATCTTGTTGAGTAGTTTTCGTTGTTGTGATGTTTAATTTGGACTTCTTGTTTTAATCTTGTTGAGTGATTGTAATAAAGGGCGTTTGTTGTTCATTTTGTTTCAACATGGGGGTAAAAACCAACCAAATTTAGCCGACATAGATAGTTAATGGAAAACAACACAATCCGATTGCCAAATTTAGAAACATAGATAGTTCATGGAAAACAACACAAGACCCAAACCAAATTTAGACGACATGGATAGTTCATGGAAAACAAAAAAAGATGAAACTAAATTAGAACGACATAGATAGTTCACTGGTTGTCTTCATTTCCCTCCACTTCCCCTTCTCTTCCTCTTCCTCTTCCTCCACGACCTCCTCGGCCCCTTCTTCCTCCCTCTCTACCTCCTCCTCCTTCTTCACGAGCCCGCTGGACAACTGCGCGCGGATTCCTCTTAACCCGACCACCCACCGGAGTGTAGACAGGTGGTGGGGGGGGGGGGGAGGTTGCTGAGATGGACCAGAAGCGTCGTAGAAAGTCGATGATGTATGTTGTTGTTGCGGGGTCTGATACTGAGTAGTTTGTTGCTGATGGTGGAACTGAGGGGTGGCTTGGGTGAACATGTCATGCTCCTGAGTCGGGGCATAGCTTGACGACCCTCCGGTTCCCTCAGTACTAGTAGCCCACTCACAATGTGGCCATGGTTGAGGGAAGTTGAGTTTGCTGAGACGGACGAAGCTCTTCAATGTGTTCTCTCACCCTTCTTCTGCTCCTCCGTGGGGGCTCTTGTGGGGGCACAATCCTCTCATCAGCACGGAATGAAGGTCGGGCCGGAGCAGGCACTGGAGGGTATAATATGACATCCCTCCTTTGCTCTCTGGTACAACAGAGCAAGTTGTTGAAAAGCCTGCGCAAAAAAGATGTCTTCCGCTCATCCATGGTGGATGCACTCTCGACGGTGTGCTTCGCATGCTCCAAACCGTCAACCTAATAAATTGTTGTACAAAATTAACTAATAGTAAATCTAATAATGATTTCTATCATCTAATATAGGCATGTAATCATACTACAAAAATTAACATTCATTAAAACTAATAATGTTAATTAACATTCTAGCTAATATAGGCATGTAATCATACTCCAAAAATTAACTAACATTAAATCTAATATAGATAATTAACATTCTAGCTAATATAGGCATGTAATCATACTCCAAAAATTAACTAACATTAAATCTAATATAGATAATTAACATTCTAGCTAATATAGGCATGTAATCATACTACAAAATTAACTAAAATAGGCCAAAATGGAATTCACTTACCACTGCGCCCCAAACAGCACCTTGCTTGACACCCATCTTAGCGTGAAGTTCCGATACCACCGCATGTAGCCATCGTGGTACCCCATTGGCCTTGTCTCCGGCGCCCCTTGGACCACCCACTGATTTCTATTCTCCCATATGTTGATGTAGAATTCATGCTTGCGGGTCCAATCCTTTTTGTTGTAGCGTAGGTCAATGGCGTGGAGCTCCCTGAACCCTTGAGGTGGGGATGCTGGAATTGGTTGCTCCAATCGATATTGCCTCAAAGATCGATCGGGCAGGTGCCACTCCACCATGTGCCAGCAGATTAAGGGCACCTTGCACAACCATGTCTCTTGATCCTCGGGATGTCTAAGACGATGCAACTCAACCACTTCATTTGGATATGGATCCCATACCGCCTACAATCATTAAAATTCATGGAATTAGTTAAAATTATATCCACTCTACCTAATAAATTGAAAATCATGACATTCAATATTTTACCTGGTTCCACCAAGGCTTATCAAATTCAGCACGATAAAACAGTAAAGAGTGCTCGGGCTGGTGGTCGTTTGTATTTGCTCCGATCCACCTAATTTTGCAAAAGTACATATATAAGCAATTTTAAAATTAGCTAAATGCGATTTGGTTAGAATAAATCCAAATTCACTTACTTGGAAGATATCTAAATTCACTAAAATACTAGAATTGCAGACCTAAAATGTCTCTAAATCCGCTTAGTTGGAAGATAGCTAAGTTCACTAAAATACTATAATTGCATACTTAAAATTGCATACTAAGTTAAGTTCACTAAAATCTAAATTCACCTAACTAGCTACCATTGCATATCTAAAATAAATTCAAAGCAAAATTGAACTTACTTGAAACCATATGGGGGATTTGCTACAAATCGTAGCTCATCATCTGGCAACCAGAATTCCCGAGGGTCTCGAGGTGCGAGAAACGGAAGATGCTCCCTGCCCAGAGCTGGAGTATGAACATCGCACCACCAGCTTGTTTCGCTCCCAACTTCGAGCAAGTACACAACTCGCGGTAGATCCCAGCCAAGACGGCCGACCCCCAGCTTTTTTGCCCGATCTCGTCCCAGTCACCGAGGAGCATATTTAACCACATGCCTTGTATCCACCGGTTTGACTTGTCGGGGAACAGAAACCCACCAACCAAGGCAATTAGGTAGACACGTGCATACCGCTCCACCTGATCTTCAGGAGTATCCGGGCCTATATTAACCTCCATCTGGATGTGGTCAACAAGCCACGGGATCGATACTTGTCCCGCATTCAGTGGTGGATGCCCCTGACCTTCGACGGGCGTGGTGGTCGGCATGTTGAACCCCAGACGTTCCTGAATCAATGGCCCCCAACCATCTTCTGGTTTTCTCGAGCTGTCGATGATGGCATCTCCGGTGATCGGGAGCCCGGTGAGGATGGCAACATCTTTGAGGGTGATCGTCATTTCACCCTCAGGAAAGTGGAAGGTATGCAGCTCAGGGCGCCATCGCTCTGCCATTTGCCGTCAGCAGATCGTTGTCAATATCTAGCCTCATAAAGTGCCTCAAATTGTGCAATCCCGCCCTCTCTAGATAGGGATGCAGTCGAGGATGCCAAGGGGGCAATCGACATGTACCTCGATGACTGATGGGAATAAGTGATTCCTACAAAACAAAAAACACAATATTGTCAGTCAATAGAAAGCAAAATAAAAAACTTAGAAAGCAAAATAAAAACTTTAAAACTATTGAAATAATTTTAGTGTGTTTACCGGATTATTGTTCCAAATTGAACGAGAGCGATGTTGATCTTGCCCGGTTAAATACCTTCGATCCCTTGGGCCAGGGTCGATATACAATCTAGGGTCGTATATCTCAGCACCCATCTATAAAAAAAATATGAAATCAAATCAATTTAATTTTAGCACCCATGTAAAAAAAAGCACAAAAGAATTAAATAAATTTACGTACTCTCAAAGCCTCTTCGTCCATTTTTTTGCCGAAAAGCTAGCGAGAGTATCGACAAAACAACAAAACAAAAACTCTAGTAATTCTTTCTGATGCGGAAGATCGGACTTAGCCGCAACCACAGAGCATACTTAGAACAAAACTAGAGTGAAAAATGGAGGGAGAAAGAAGTATAGAGTGGTGGTGTGGTTTGGAATGAGGGGGGGATGGTATTTATAGTGTTTTGGGGCTGGGAAAGACCTGGCCAGTTATCACCGCCCCAAACAAACACAGCGCCATCACCGCGTCCAACAAAGGCGGTGATGGTCAAGGATCGCTGACGTGGCCTCTCCTGATGCGTCGGGATTGTGGAGAAAAACCACAATCCGCGCATAACTGCATCCGACGGCAGCGGTGAAGGCGCGGGGTGGGGCGTGGATCGCTGACGTGGAAAGCGGGGGCAATCCACCGCTTTGGTCTTCAGCGGTGAAGTGCCCGCTCGCGTCCACGGTCAGCGATCCGCGCCACTTCAACCGCCTGTTGGATCCAACGTGAAGGCTTCACTGCCTCCCACATCAACGGTCTTGCCATCACTGTCGTCCTGACAGCGGTGATGGCATCACTGCTTTTTGTTTAAAGCGGTGAATAACATCACTGCTTTTGTCAAAAGCGGTGATGCATCATCGTTTTAGACCAAAACGGTGATCAACATCACTGTCTTAGACAAAGACAGTGATGTTGAAACTGCTGTACTTTAGGAAATACTTTTATAAGTACTGTATTTTGGTAATTTTTTTTTAATAATTGGTGTATTCTGGGATTTTTTCCAACTTTAGGCATGTGCGTCTTACTTCTTAAACCGCGACGGCAAATTTTAATATACAAAACGAAAAAAATGACACATTAAGAAGAAAGAAAAAAAAAACAGAGCAGTCTCTGTTTCAAATCTCTGTTTCAAACATTTGCAGAATCGTCATCATCAACCTCTCTCCCTCTCCCTACTTAATCAAGCTGAGCATACCAAACCCCCTGAATCTTCACATCTTTAGGCGCCTTGGCGCCCAAATCGGTGTCCGACGGCTGAACGCTCTCGAAAACCCCAATCACCTCCCCTGTCTCCGGCTTGCTCTTGGTCACGCTCAATGTAATCTTCCCCTTCGACGCCGCCGCGTTCTTGACATTCTCCTTCGCCAGCTCTTCCTCATCCCCTCTCCCGCCGGCGGGAAGCGCCACCGCATTGTCATAACCCTGCGACCCTCCCCTGCCCTTCGGGTCCAAAAACGACGAACCTCTGTAGCTGGGCACCAAAAACTCGCCGCTGAAGCTCTCTGGCTTCCCCGAAGCCACCAGCTGCTTCACCGTGAAGAGGAAAGGGACCCTCTCCCCGCCGGGGAGCTGGACGGTGACGGCGGCGTAGTCGATGCCGTCTTTCTCCTCGAATTTCACCGTGCCGTCGGGGGAGACCTCGAAGGGGCCTTCCATCTCGTCGAGAGTGTAGGTGAGGCGGGTCATGAGCTTGGTGTTTTGGAATTCAGCTGGGGAGTTCTTGCTGACTCCTTCGGCTTTGACAGTGAAGGAAGTTGGCTCGAGGCAGAATTTCTTGGCCTGGTATTTCCCTGCTTTGAAGGAGAAGGCGTCGGATCCGCCGTCGATGGTGGGGCATTGGTTGGCTGTGCCGGTGCCCTTCACTTCCATGTAGGTCTTGCTCTGGATCTCGTCGAAGGTTAGCCTCTTCGGCGCTCCTTCTGCTCCTGCTCCCTGTGTAAGCCGGCACATAAACAACTCAAATGTTTTTGACATCGTAATTTGTATCGGCATTGGGCCATTGATAGAAGTTCAATAGAAAATGGTGCTGAAATTGCCACACATAAACAGATACAATACAATCTACCCTAAGATCTGAGAAAGTTTGATAGCTACAATGAGAAAGAACTATTGACAATGATAATGTTCAACGCGATTCTTCATACTAGGTGATTTGATAGATACAAATGGCTATAGGGTGAGGCAAAGCTTTGAAATTTTGGTCATGGTATAGTCTCTCTAGTCTATTAACCAACTGGACTTGTACTCAGACATGATATTAGAGTCTTCAAATTGCCTCTAAACTTTTGTTCTTCAAATCGTATAATGATGACGAGGAGCCTTCTTAATCATCATGTTTAATCAGTGCTTACTTAATCATCGTGTTGAATCATTAGTTGCTTCTTAATCATCATGTTTAATCAGTGCTTACTTCTTAATCATCATGTTGAATCATTAGTTGCTTCTTAATCATCATTTAAGTTAGATGTAGTTTGTCTCAAAATCCTAACCACAACAGGATTGAACAATAGCCAGTATTGATCAAGCTCTCTCACAACCAACATGCCATTGAGAGATATTGATGCGACTAGAACTGAAAGGATCACCAGATCTTAGCCAAAAACTGGAAGAACCCACATGGTAAGAAGCAAAAGACATACCGAGACAACAAGAGCAGAGGTGGCAAGAGCAAAGCCAGCAAGCTTGGTGGCATCGACACACTTCTGGGCCAATTCCTTGAGGTCAGACTGAAGAGAGCAGGTGACTCTAGCAGAGGCAGCTGGCTCCAATCCAAAGGCTTTGGAGAAATTTGGGGAAGACCTCAATTGGACGAGGCTGTTGGAGGAGTTCCTTCCCACCTTGGTGGGTTGCATTAGAGTTGCTGCAGCTTGAAGTGAGGCTGCCATGGTTAAGGCAGAACAGGTGAAAAAAGCCCCACCTCTGGGATCTCTGATGGGGTGAAACAGAAGGCAGAGAGAGTGGAAATTGTGTGTTTTGAGCTGTGGTGGGGAAGTGGAGTTAAGTTGGTTGGCTATGGGGGTGAGAATGAACCAGGATAAGGTGATAGGATAAGGGTGTAATGTTATTGGGTGATGGAGGTAAAGGGTTTTGGAGGCTGCCACATGGGCAGTGATATATTGGGATGTTTAGAGCTCAGAGATACTCTCTCATTTCTAGTTTCCAGAGTGGTTGAAATGAGAAGAGAGGACCCACAGGCCACAGCTAGGCCTGTTTCTTCATTCTTGTGTGTGGCTGTGCTGTGAGGGAATGGAAATTGAAAATGGTTCCACCAAAACAAAAGGAAAGGTCAGGTAGTCAATAGTCATCTCAGCAAAAAAACAATTGGCCCATACAGGTCTCGAACCTGTGACCTTCGCGTTATTAGCACGACGCTCTAACCAGCTGAGCTAATAGGCCTTGATGTACATTATTGAGTTAGCCTGTATTTATATTAAAATTAAAGAGTAGTCACAATTAAATTTTGGATAATGTTAACCAATACCTCAATGGGTTTAAAGATGCAATTTTAACTCATGATTTCGGAATAGGTAAGAACTGGTTCTCTGGGTTAAGATAATGTTTAGGAAGCAGCTCAAAAGTGCTTGAAATAGAATCACCGGTCAAATAAAATTTGACCTCAATTCAGATTTGATTTATATCATTCTCATCATAGCTGCATAATCAATGTTTGTGGTAAACTGAGTTATAATTGTCCTTGTAAGCATGTTTTCAGTCGCCAAGGTCTTACATCATACCCAATAGTGATACCCTTTTACGCCATTCTTCTGATTACTCAAGGTCATCATTCCAAACATAATCACCATCTAATCCGCGATCAAGACCCAACAAAGGAGTAACTACACAGATGAGAACTTTATTTGATAGAAAAAGACGGCCTTAGAAAACAGAGTCTACACATTAAAATTAAAAACAGAGTGAAAAAGTGCAAAAACTGTTGTACAAATTTTGATTCAAAGGCAGTTCAGAATGAGTAGGAGGTGAGATATGAATCATCACATTGTGGTAAAATAAGACAGAAACTCTATCATCACCACTGCCAAAACAAAATTAAACAAGATCGAAGTTCAAACGTTTTTACAAAAAAAAAGCTTCAAAGGGTGGATTTTCTGTCGACTTGGTGGGATCTTGGATATGGATTCCTCTCAGACAAATGCCTCGTTTGTCGTCAGGGTTTTGAATGGATAATCGGACTCGTCATCTATAGATAATTATCATCACTGAGAAATCACAAACCATATCCCCACCAAAAAAAAAAGAGAAATAACAATCGCCAAACACCAAATTGATTTATGAAGCAAAATAAGTTTAAGATGGCGATGACAGATTAGCCCCAGATTCCGACCGACAAGGTGGAAAAAAGAACCTAGAAAGGCTTCTGCTGAGGAGCAAACGAGCTTTCTTTTCTTCACCTAGTCGCTGGAATACTGGAGCTAATAAAGACTGCCATGGGATGAGGCGATCAAGCACAGCGTAGAAGAGAGGTTGCGAAGGAAGGAGAATATGGAAGTGAAAGGGAACGTGTTGCTTTGTTGTTTTTATAGGCTAGATCGCGGCGCCTAGGGTTAGGGTTTTATGGTGAAGCGGAATTGCAATGGAACGCCGTATTGTTGTTTTGGGATGGTTGTTGGGTTTTGACTTTGTGGGCCGAGAATCCAGCAATTGACTTTGTGGGCCGAGAATCCAGCAAAACAGCCCACACCATAGTCCATGTAGTGGGAGGGTGAAAGAGATATGAACTAGTAGGCCTCCAATGCTCTTGAGTCTTGATACCCTGTTTAAGAGATGATTGTACCAATGTTTTCACTTTTTTTCACCCAATAAAATGATGTAGATGTATTAATTATTATGAAAAATGTGGCTGAACAAGCAGATTTTTGGAGGACTGCAATGAGAAATATAAGAACGAAACACACAAAACGCAACGATTTACGTGGTATCCTTGTCATGAGCAAGACTAATCCACGGAAGACCCACACAAGGGGTCTTCGGCTAGAGTTTTATTATTAGGGTTTTGCAAAACTCACAAGCTCTCTACAGGAGCATGCACACGGCAGCAACATATATATAAGGGTGCACTATATCCCTTATCACCACTCAACTAGGAAATAAGTGCTA